TATATATATATATATAAAAAATCATAAATGGTCAGAAGACAAAAAGCTACCGGTAAGTGTCATTGGTTCAGGCTTTCATTGGTTCAGGCTTTCATCTCATCAAAACAATGTGATTCCATCACCATGGTAACGTTGTGAACTGACAAACCCAAAAATGCTAATGATTGATACACACGTTTCTTCATGTTAGAACGAGATGGGATTTTTTTAAACGCCAGAAGCCCATGTTTTTTAGGCTGGCACAAGACACAAAGCGTTCACCACAAATCATTCTTGGAGCAAACAACATTAAACAATTCTCTTAAGTAAGGCATTGAAAGGGGATAATCTTGCTTTTCTGAATTTGTTGCATTGTCTGATGTCCCGTTCATGCTTCCAGGTTCATGTTCCTGCTGTGCCTGTTTTTTTCCCCACATTCTAAGTCTGTAGGATCTCAGTCATTAATTCAGTCATTCGATCCAGTCCAGGGTGCACCTTGTCTCTCACCCAAATCTGTATTTCAATTTTGATTTATTATACTTTCGATTTATTATAATAATTCTGTGCTCAAGAGCACATCAATAGTAGTCAGGAAGTAGACTAGCATCTATCCAGCAACTAGTTTTACATTTACTGTATGATATCCCCAACAGCATTCGAACCATAACCCACCAGTTACAAAGCTCAGTTGCTTTTGCCCAAAGCTACTTCAAAATGTGTTGAACAGAACAATAACAAGTGTACCAGACTGGTTTAAAAGATCTCACAAGCAGTCCTGTAATACGTTTGTTTTTATTCATGATTCCTTTCACCATCAACCTAGAACGGCTGCTGACTTTCTGGAGCAAATATCTTGAACCGCAGCAGCTGCACAGAAGCTGTCAGAAGGGCCTGTTTCTGGATCGAGTGTTAATCAGTCCCAGGACAGAGAATGCACTTGCTGCTGCTGTGACCAAACTGATGGCTCCAATGGCCCTTGTAGCCTGCCAACAAAAGAAAGAAAGCAGAGGGAGTCTAATTTAAAAAAAAAAAACACCAAGCCAGCATCTCTATGCTTTTTTTTCTAGGGTGCTGTCGGGTATAAAAAGCACCAACACAAAAACAAGAATGACCCAGCAAGATAAATGTTATTACGCAATGGGATCTTGGTGTGAAGATTCAGCTCCTGGCTCTCATTTCTCCCACTTTGTTGTTAGTGATGTCATCATACAACCAATATTGTATACATCAGTTCCAATGCTGCCGCTGGTGTCAACCATATGGCATATATGTGCATCTATTTTCATTATCGGATTATTTGAAAATACGCCTGCATAGTAGAAGATGACAACATTTCTGGTGATATTTTTGCTTCACCTGCCATCTGCACAACAGTCTTGGGATATTCCTCCTTTCATCATTTAATCAGTGAGTGCTTGGGCCGGTTCCCATTTGTATTTTTTTCTGTTGATCCAACTGTGCTGTTAGGTGCTTTTCTGTTCCAGCATGATTACCCATCAAATTCTTCAAGGCATGGTTGAATGAACAGTATATGGAGTGGCGGAACTTGAGAATGCTGACCATAAAATGCTTTAACACCCGTTTGTCTGAGATTGTGAGCCTGGTGCTATCTCACACCCAACATTAGTCACATGACATTTTCATATCCAATGGCCATATGTCCAAATTCTTCCATCCATATAATGTTTGTTGAATGTGAGCTTGTTAGTTGCCCCCCAAAAAGATGAATTTTGCAGCACAGTGGTGGTGTGGTTTGCACATTTCCATCACGAATCAGTCCTGCTGGATCAACGCCATCTCACGCAAATTCATCTGAGGAAGGCAGCAGATGACTTGCGACACGCATGAGGACAAGCATGAGAAAAGATGGATTGCTAATAAATTGAGTGTAAGCCACCTGTTCAGACACTCCTTCCCCGTAACGCAGCAAGGTGACAAAATGCTCGCAGTTACTGCCCAGTAGGTCATAGGACACCTCCTGGCCAATCAGGATTTGCGCTCGCTGGATGATCTCACAGACGGGCAGGGGCGTGTGGTTGTGATCGTACTTATTGTTGACACGGTACGAGTCACTTCCCACCACCTCCTTCAGCAGCTGCATGCGCACCACCGCCTTCCGGCTGAAGACCGACTTCACGCTGGACATGGCGGCGGCCTGGCTCTCGTCTGGAGACAAGCATCAATGGCTGATGAGATGAGAAACAACAAAATGACATTCTTCAGAGGGTTCGAGTCATATTTTTTGACGTTAGGGATGATTTAAAAGCTGAACTTTGGGGATTCAGGATTTATTCTTTTTTTTTAACCTGTCATGTTCAGCTGCAGTGCGGTGGATCGGTAAACCCTTTTCATGCTGGTACAGTTTTGTTCTATATGAGAGTGTGATATACTCTTGATATTTATTGGAAATACGGTCAGACAGATTGATGTTTGACAGGGGAAAGATAGAGAGAAAAAAAACAGAAAACAGTTACAGTGTATGTTGTCAAAGATTGGCACTGACCAACAGGAGTCAAGTTGATGATGTAACCATCTCCCAGGTAGAGTGCCCAATGCTGATAGGCTGGTCTGAAGATCTCAATGAGATCCCCAGGCTGGGGGTCGCCAGAGGGATCAGCAGGGTCATTCGAGGCCATCTACACACACAATTTAGACAGTTGTGCATTTGCATTTCACAGCAGACCTGAAACACGGTACTTTAAAAAACACGTGATACAGCAATAGCTCACTTTTGATTAAATTGATAGCTGTTCAATTACAGGTGTATCTCAGTACATACTGTAGTCTGAATACTGCGGAAAACATTATTTCAGCTAAAAGAAAAACAACAACCTCATTACATAGATTCACTAAACATTGCGTATTTTTCAAAATCTATTCTCTAATTTTGATAATTATACATATACAGAAATTCACCATCTCAAGAAATTAGAACACGAAATAAGAAACAAACCAAAATATTTTTTTTTTCATAATACAGTAAGTGATTGGTTACTGGTGCTCTGAAAGGAATGTTCCTACAAGTTGAATGAATTCAAATTTATTACGATGCACCTTTAAATAGTTGTTGGAGATGTTTCACATCACGTTCAAAGACATTTCACATGAATTGCAACTTACACTAGAGCTTTGTTGATGTTTAGCCATCCCACAACATGCTTCCACAAGTCCTAATAAGGAAATAAAAACAGACTTCACTATCAAATGATCCTCGAAAAATTCATCCATCCATCCATCCATCCATTTTCTAATCCGCTTATCCTCACAAGGGTCCTGGGTGTGCTGTAGCCTATCCCAGCTTCTTCGGCCAGTAGGTGGGGTACACCCTGAACTGGCCGCGAGCTAATCACAGGGCACATATAGACGGAAATTCACCCGCACTCACACTCACACCCAGAGACAATTTATGAGTGTTCCATTAAATTGCCACGCATGTTTTTAGAATGTGGGAGGAAACCACAATACCCAGAGAAAACCCATGGAGGCACAGGGAGAACATGTAAACGTCATACAGGAAGGCCGGAGTCGGAATTGAACCCTGTACCTATGCACTGTGAGGCGGACGTGCTAACTGTGGAGCCCTCGAAAATTACACCATGAGTCCATTTGAATAAATACTATGTTGCAAGGTCATTATCACATTAAGAAGTACTTTAGATGTGTTGTTTTAGCAAGTTTACGACGAAGTTTATCTGTTTACCACTGTCTTGACTGATATAATGGATATTTTAAAAAAAAAACATACGATTTGGAATTAGTGACAAATAGCTAAACCTTGGTTTTTATCGGACCAAAACAACTTTACCCACATATGTTTGGGAGATTGGAATTTTTTTTTAAACGTTTGAATGTTTTCAACCAAAGTTAAATTTTTTTGCAACAATTTCCAAAACGTATGTTTGGCGCAAACCCAACCCCTCTCATTACCAAAAGAACTCCATATTATGATGCTTCGGGCTATTTTTCTCCAGTTGGAACTATTCCGGTCCTCAAGAGCCCCTCGTCCATTTTTTTTATGTTTCCCTCCTCCAAAAGTGAAAAAAAAGATCCTCTGGATTTACTTAATTGAAACAAGTACATCGGTTGCACATGATTCCAATGTGGTGAAGCTATGTAATTTTCCCGTGTTTTCCTCAAAAATAAACAAATGACATGTATTAGTTTCTCATATTTTAAACGTGTGTGACTAAAAATCATTTTTTCAGTGAACACACCTGATTCAAATAATCAGGACTGTACTCAGGGTTCTGAAAAGCTGTCTGATGAGCTGATCGTTTACATGAGGTGTTTTCAAAGGAGGGACAAATCTAAAACAAATCTAGTGGCCCAAGACTTTTGCATTGTACTACAGTGTCTAAGAGTGGGCTTCTAAGAAATAGTGGATCGAGAATGCTAGATGGGATTGCACACCATGTAAAGGTCACTCGTACATACGCACCACACAATACCACTCAGCGCTCACACATACAAAAAAACAGACGCACACAATACACACACCTCGCTGCAACAATAACACTGACACAATGGGGAAGCCGGCAGAAAAATACTTTTGAGTCCATTTTATGTTACATGATAAACACTTCCATACTGTCGCTGTGCAGGCTGTCTGAAACATGGACACCCCATGACTGTTAAAATGTTTTCCACAGGACAGTGACGATATTAAAAACAAAAAAATGTAAACTTCATCTTAAAAAAACAAACAAACAAACAAACAAAAAAAAAAACACTTCCGGTGGATAATAGTGTCACATTTGCTGGGTAGCAGCTTCATTATTAATGAATATGTGATGATGAGGCCATGTTGAAAGGAGAAAGCTTGTTATTTTGATGAATGGTGAAGCTAATAACATATTAAGGGTGCATATTACTGGCATCAAAACACCCTGTAATTCATGTCTCCCATCACAAAAGACAATAAATATAAATCAATAAATATCACACTTCAAATCTCAGCAGTGAAGTTTCCCAAACACTCGTCGAAAATGTCAGAGTTTTTTCCTCAGTTGTCTATTAGGCACACAGTTTCATGCCAAATAGCTTTCTGAATCAGGATTATTGTCTTTATCATGAATTTAGGCGCTGAGGAACAATTTTTTTTGAACTGTGGTCTTTTGAGTAGGAAATGTTTGGAAAACCCCGCTGTCAAAGGCAGCACAGTGGCATCAAAGAACAAAACCGGAGCAATACTTACTCAAACACAAGCAGTTTTTTCTTTCTCACCATTTTAATTCTCCATTATAAGTCCACGAATGACCATAACATAAAAAACAAGCAGAAAGACAAAACAGAAAGATATTAATCCCACGTTTCTCTGATGGCAAGTTTGAAGTTTACTCAAGGTCCCAAAGCCGAAGCAGAAGCTGGAGGTCACGGTGGATGTGTTCAATGTCTCTAGCTGATAACAGTGGTGCATTCATGACCCACACACTGACAAACACACACATACAAAGCACACACACGTAGGCACAAAGAAGTGTTTCCTCCCCTGTATTGTTCATGTCACCGTCAGTGGTTCCATCCACTGACGGTGACATGAACACACTCAATAAAAACAAAATGGAAAGTAGCGCTCAAAAATTACCTGATTTAATGATGGATTCATTTCATTTTATTGCTCAGGGTATTATATTGTTATTTTAAATTGGAATTTTTAAGCAGCTTCAGTAAAGACATGGCTGCCACATAGAAGTCACCCAATCGGGGATGTTTGTATCAAAATAGCTACTAGCTTCTTTAATTCGCATAAAGAAACAAACACCACCATTGGAATCATTTTCACATTGTTTTCCATATGACAAAAAAAGGAGCCTGGTGGAAGACAATCAGAGTCAATTGCAATAAACATTGTCAAAGAAATTTTTTTGCCAATTTCTACCTTGCAAAAGTAGCATTCATCTACAATTAGAATCAGATATCAATTGTTGGTTAAAAAAAACATAGCCTAGCCCGAATGCAAACTACAATAAGTGAATCAGGCGTGTCATTTGTCTGTGATGGTTCTGCCATCTTACATACTTATATGTCATGTCTATCGTAGTTGCTTGTTATTGCAATACTGTACTGTAGTCGGGTAGGCTACACTACGGAGACAAATTCCTTGTGTGTTTTACATACTTGGCCAAAAAAGATGATTCTGATTCTGATTACAGTGCAGACCAGAGATGGGCAACTAGTGAACACACACACACACACACACACACACACACACACACACACACACACACACACACACACTCACACACGCACACACACACACACGCACACACACACACACACACACACACACACACGCACGCACACACACACAGGCACATGCAGTCATAAATAACTACAAAATATAAAACACTTTTACTATTATGCATAGAGGTGATCCATCCTTTTAGTTTGGCATGTGTTGTAACAAGTTTGAACCTTTTGCTCCTCCACATTCCAGCACACAAGGGGGTTGGATAAATTCTTTGCTGTCGGATTGGCGGTTGCCTCTGTGTCGCGTTCTGAGCTGCATCAAGCTCACTTTAGCGAGACCATGACCAGAAGTTGTTAGAATTTTCACAATAATTCTGGTGTGTGTGTAACCGAATCCCTTCAAGGTAAGTTTATTAAGAGACGGTGTGAATAAATAGTGTATGGTGAGTTAGTTTTAAATTTTGTTCGGTTTATACATTGTTTAAAGCATTTTTTATGATATCAACATTTGCCTGAGTGATTTTCTTTTATTGTGAATATTTTTGTCCTTATTTCTTGTTAAAATGTCGTTGACAATACGTGAAGACAACAGAAGGTTAAATAGAGTAGCAGTAAATGATCATCCAACGCACGCAGGGATTAACAATACTGTAATAGAGGAGCAATTTATGTGTTTATGATATGAGAAGAAGACACCGGATGTTTTAGTACCGTGGTAATATCATAATTAGCACAAGGTTTGGTACGTAATGCTTTGACGACTAACTGCTTGAGTGCAGCACTTTGCTTTCGCTTGCTAACCGGCTAGCAAGCTCAAGTGCGCAGGTGTCAGATCGTGTAAACGTTTTTTTAATACGTGTATTCCATTGATCGATGCTTGACACGTACATATCTTGTGTTTTAAACATCCGATGTAACACGATCGGGTTTGTATGAGCTGCTCTTGTTTACATCCACCGGGTGCCCCTTACAGTAACGGATCTAAATAAAGTAACAGGTCGCTCGCATTCTCAACACGTGGGTTAACGTCATTAATGATCTGCATACACGATTCCCGAAAATTTGAGAATTGGATTACACACGTAACACGATGGCCTCCACGTTGCTATCCTGGCTAACTGTTATTGTGTACTTATTTTGACCTTTTGTGACCAGACCACTGTGTGTTTGCAGTCGCCATGGCCGCGGCTGTCCCACTTCGACGCACCGATTCAGCCAGGGGGGAGTTTTCTCCCCTGAAACACTTTGTGGTGGCCAAGAAGACCATAAGTGTCCTATTTGAGCAGCTTCTCAATTACGTCACGGAGACCTCCGAATTTGTGGAAGGTAGGATGGGTTGTTTACTGTTCATCATCTGCCAACTGTAGTTCCTCCAAAAAATATGTAAACAGTTCAGTTGAGCATGTAGCATAAACTTCGTGATTAAATCAGTTTGCGATCGTAGCAATAGCAGCGGTATTCATAGAAGCATGTTTTTGTTCAACCTTGTTTGCCATGTTTGAATCCCAATCTGATAAAATGTTTGATAACCAGTTGTTTTATCTTAAGTAATGACATTTGATAGAGGAGTACATCGTTGTGCTTTTGTAGAATCTTATTCTAGAATAGATAATAGACCTAGATTTTTTTGGGGGGGACAGATGCAGGTGACACACATTTAATCAATGCTTATAGATTTGATGTTGCGTAATTGTGGTTGTTGAACAGATACATGTGGGAATAAAGCCATTGGTAAAATTGCAAGTCTGGATCAAAAGTTGGAGATTCAAGCGTATGCAGATAAACTTGCGGTCATCAAGGAGGTGCTGGCTCGCAGACACATGAAAGTGGCATTTTTTGGAAGGTAAACAAATATGATCATAAAACCTCCCCTGTCAGTTTGGGGAATTCTCTCAGAGTTTTGCTGTTTTGATATTTATTGGTGTGTGCTTGTAGGACAAGTAACGGTAAAAGCACAGTGGTTAACGCCATGCTGAGGGACCGTGTGCTGCCCAGTGGTATCGGCCACACCACCAACTGCTTCCTGAGTGTGGAGGGGACTGATGAGGACAAGGCCTACCTCAAGACTGAGGGCTCAGAGGAGGAGAAAAGTATCAAGGTCAGCAGTGCCTTTATGTAGTTGTGGTATTTTGTTCCCAAACATTTAAATGCGTTTAATCCTGCACAAACACACAAATAAATCTCAGTAATATTAGGTTTTTATTTGAGCGATGAAGTAGTTTGTCACGGTTCCTTATCCCGGATGATTAGAACTGGGATGAATGTTATTAAAGTTTTCATTTAATTCACTTACACATTCCCAAATCATGCATGTATGTTGGAACATTTCTTCAAATGAAATTTAATCACGGAAAGAGGATCCCAGTGCTGACAGTTGATGTGTGTTTACAAACCCTGCAGACAGTAAACCAGCTGGCTCACGCTCTCCACATGGATGAGAGTTTGGATGCCGGCTGCCTCGTTCGTGTATTTTGGCCAAAGACCAAGTGTGCCCTCCTTCGGGATGACCTGGTCCTTGTAGACAGGTATAAATAGTAGTCAGATATTGCTTTACTTCAAAATCTCAAAGTAAAAGGACGCAAATTATGCCTTTTTCTCACAATTTAAAGCAGTTCCAATGTGTTTGAATCACATGGCTCACATGCTTTCATTAGACTCTCCAAGACTTATCGCAAACTTTACACACCCCATTTTTGTCTCCCCCGAAATTAACCGCAGGTTCTCCTCTTGCAACTGAGTGACTCAATAATTTATTTCGGCCAATGGCAAGTCTGGCTTTTGTTTGCCTCCGAGAGCAAAGCCCAGCATTTTTATGCTGCACTGTGTATATGTGGCAATTACAGGCATCACGGAAAACAAGTCTACCCCCTCCATCGCCACTATGACAACTTCATGCACCGCTTATATGAATACACACTTTCAACAATTCAATCAAAATGGTCGATCAAATAACTGCTGTGATATTCACCAGCCCGGGGACAGATGTCACATCAGAGTTGGACAGCTGGATAGACAAGTTTTGCCTGGATGCTGACGTCTTCGTGCTGGTTGCCAACTCTGAATCCACGCTCATGAACACGGTAATGGCGCTGTGGCTGCGTTCAGGTTTATGTCTGTAACCGTGAGTAAATGTGACCTTACTCCCTCTTGCCATCCTGTGGGAAAGATGAGAGTCATAATAAACTCACACACAAGTGCACCGACTGGAAGGACTTGCCATCGTCAAACGCGAGTTTGATGCACCAAAAGAATCTTTTTTCGGGTTGATATCGCACAGAGCATAATGAAAATAATAGAAAGAATTATACTGTGCTAGTATGCAGGAAATCATGAGATGTAAATGATTTCATTAAGTCCATGCACAAATAATCTGCACATGGGTTGGAGGAGTGAACACACAATCCATTCCTTCTACTAAATAGCTCTGTAGCTCTTAATAGCCCACTTGCAATCCGGGCATCCATATAACTTCCAATGACACCTTTTTGTTTTGCATGGAGTTAGTTATCAAACCATTTATTATATTTAGTTATTCTCCCACATTATTTTTTTTCTTTTATTGGTGGCACCTGCAATAACACTGGTCATCAACAAATTTTAATGAGGTTAATCTTTATGTGTCCCCTAAACATATTTTTGGTACTAATTTTAAAAATGTCTCTTTTTTTTTCTAGCACACAAGGTTTTTGCAATATTTTCATTTTTACAAATTTAAGTTTGACCTATAAATCAACAACAAAAATAGAAACATTGATAGAGTAAATAGGACTTATAAAAAGTGACCATTTCACCTTATTTCCATTGTCATCTTTTAGGAAAAGCACTTTTTCCACAAAGTCAACGAACGGTTGTCAAAGCCCAACATCTTCATCCTCAACAATCGCTGGGACGCTTCAGCAAATGAACCAGAATACATGGAAGATGTGAGTTACGTTTGTATCTTACAAGAGGGTCATGTGACACATGGGCGGCATGGTGCTTAGCACATCTGCCTCACGGTACTGAGGTTGATGGTTCAAATGCAGGCTCTGGCCTTCTTGAGGCGAACTTGCATGCTCTTCCTGTGCTTGCACGGGTTTTCCCTGGGTACTCAAGCTTCCTCCCACGTTCCAAAAACATGCATGTTATATTAATTAAATTCTCTAAAATTTCCTTTGGTGTGAATGCAAATGGTATTTTGTTTATTTGAGTCCTGTCCAGTCCACGCTGCACCCTGCCTTTTGCAGAAATCAGCTGGGATATGCTCCAGCACACCCACGAGATTCGTGAGGATAAGTCAGATGAAAGATGGATCTGACACATTATAATGCTTTTTTGTTATACTTCTGCTGTGTTTGAATCTTTTCCCTCTGCCCTCATGCTGCAGGTGAGAAAGCAGCACACAGATCGTTGTGTGAACTTCCTTGTGGAAGAGCTGAAGGTCGTGGACCGCGACCAGGCACCCAACCGCATTTTCTTTGTCTCCGCCAAAGAGGTGCTCAACTCCCGCATGCAACGGGCACAGGGCATGCCCGAGACAGGTGAGGCTTTGGCTCTAATGACCCCTGCTCAACATTTTTATCGCTTCGGTTCACAATACAGAACTGGATCACACCAAAAACAAACAAACAAACAAACAAACAAAAAAACAACCTAATTGTAATACCGGGATAATTGATGCCCCTGTAGAAATAGTTATTGCTAATTGCTAACAAACTGGTCTAAACTTAATTCCTCCCCGACATAAAACAGCATAACTGTCGAGATGAACAACTTCAGCATAATGCATCTCTGACAGTTGACACTTTTACTACGTTCCCAATACCCAGGGCTTTGTGGCATTTTGGAAGGTGAGAAAGAGATTACAGAAATTCACCTTCCATACATCCATCCATTTTCTGAACCGCTTTATCCTTACAAGGGTCGCGAGGTGTGCTGGAGCCTATTCCAGCTGTCTTCGGGCGGTAGGCGGGGGACACCCTGAACCGGTTGCCAGCCAATTGCAGGGCACACAGAGATGAACAACCATCTGCGCTCACATGCACACCTAGGGACAATTTGGAGTGTTTAATCAGCCTGTCATGCATGTTTTTGGAATGTGGGAGGAAATCGGAGTACCCGGAGAAAACCCATGCAGGCCCGGGGAGAACTTGCAAACTCCACACAGGGAGGCCAGAGCTGGAATTGAACCCAGTACCTCTGCGCTGTGAGGTTGACGTGCTAACCACTGGACCACCGGGCCGCCCAGAAATTCACCTGAAAGCTGCAAATGGCTGATTTGCTCTTCTTCTACCTTTTTTTTTTT